AGAGAGAGAGAGAGAGAGAGAGAGAGAGAGAGAGAGAGAGAATACAGTGTTCAGTTGCCTGACCTGGTTGTGATACTGCAGTGGCTGTAAACTGAGTAGCCCATGGTGGATTCTTCTGTCCTCCAAACTGAGCCATGATGTGAGGAGGGAGAAACCTTGACTTGTTTCTCTTCTACAGCAGGTATCTATGAAGTAAGGATTCATATGTCAAAGTTCAACCAAATTACAAATACCACAAAAGGCTGTTTTAGAGAAATGACTATTGATAAAGACATGCTCCAAAGTAGAACTGGAAATAGAATGTGTGCAAACTGAACCTTTGAAATAAAACAAAACACACTATCAACAAGGTATCTTTAGGGGTGGATTTATAGGAACTTCCTTCTGGGACTACAGTGACATTTCCAAAAAAGGGGCCTGGCCAGGCTTGGTGGCACACACCTTTAATCCCAGCACTCAGGAGGCAGAGTCAGGCGGATCTCTATAAAAAATTCCAGGCCAGCGTAGTTTACAATGGCGTTAACAGCTAGGGCTATATAGAAGGCTGTGTATAAACAAACGTGATAGATACACAAAGTATAGCCTGAGTGTGTCTCCAGGCTGTGGACTGAGGTCATGCAGTGGTTATGTCAATAACGGAAACTGCGAGGTGACACCCCCTCCCCCATAAAGGCAAACACTGATGAATACCATTTTAATAACGAACATTACTCGAAGATGTGACTAGGGAAATCACTATGGCCTCACAGTCACCCTAGTCTCCACTCCGGAGAGGAAAGGCCGTTGGGAGAACGCACGCCTCAAAAAGAACCATTGAGAAGACCCCCATCCCTCCCCGCGAAGTCAAAGAGAAAAGGAAAGGCTGGGCCTGGCATCCCCAGCTGGGGGACCCGAGGCCGGGCTGGGACGCCCATCTTCCTCCCGTCCCGGCCTCTCTAGGGCGCAGGCCGCGGAAGATGGAACCCAGCGCCCCAGGCCACGGCCACGGCGTCCACAGGGGCCAGCGCGGAGAGCCGTCGCTGTCCCCGAGGCCCTTAGGACCGGTCTGAGAGAGCCTCTAACCCCGGAAAACAGTCGCGGCGCCCGGGACCGGGCTG